GCCACGGGGTACTCGCCATTCTATTTTATGTATGGTAGGGAGGTTTGCCCCCCAATCGACGTACAATTGCACATTAAACAGCCCGCACCTAAGGCTAAGATTGCCGACCACATCCGTGCTAATGTGCGTCGTCTCGTGGATGCCCGGGAGGCTGCTCAAAATAACTCAGAAGCCCGTCAGCTTGCCAACGAGCGGTTGCGGAATCTCCGCACGTCCCGCCACGTTTGGGTAGAAGGGGACCGCGCCTGGCTCCACTGCCCGCAGGTACCATTGGCTACTTCCTCAAAACTGCTTAAGCCTTGGAGAGGCCCGGTTGTTATTATTCGCGTTCTCCGCCCGCAGTGTGTCAGGATCCAGCATGGCAAGAGACGTTGGTTCGTGCACCCGTCACGTCTAAAACCTTGCGTTCAACCCTACACACCTCCTTCACTTCTCCGGGGCCGAGAGCGCGACATGTCTGACGAGCCGCGCCGCGATGATGCTGCTTCTAACTCTCGGGCAGGTCCCGCTGTCCTGCCCTCAGGTGCCTTGGGAATGAAACCCGCCACGGCCGACCCAGCGGGAACAAGCTTGCCCGCGGGATCAGCGACCCAGGACACAAGCGCAACAGCGGGTCGTCGGTCCCCTCCCGCCTCCGTCACGACCGATGGACCTGCCACTCGGACTCGCTCAAAACTCAAACGATTTTCATGACCCCCGCCCACGAACTCTCGTCCCAACGCGACGCCACTCACCTTGCCATCATGTATAGTGGGCGATTGGGGCGTGCGTTCATCCTGCATATATGTGTTTATACAGTGTTGTTCTGCATCGGTGGCCTGGAGGTTTTTTTTATATATACGCGTGACCACAGGAGGGGGAGAGGCGCTTTATTCTCATTTTTTTTTATTTGTCACACACTCATTCTGATGGGTAACAAATAATTTATTGTACAATTGTATTTTTTTTTTGACAGCCGGGTCGGCTGGAGGCTACGTAGAGGGGGGTAATGTAGTGACATAAGAAGGGAGGGGCTGCTGGGGGCTCTGGGACCCTGGGTGGGCCAGGCGCTTAAGCCTCTTGGCGCCAGGCGTGGGTTCCCAGGCGGGTCAGACGCTTAAGCCTCTTGGCGTCAGGCGTTGGGTTCCCAGGCGCTTAATCCCCTTGGCGCCGCCAGGGGGGGGGGGGGGCTGTGTGTGCTCTGTGGGATATCTGGGGGCGCACACGGACCCACCCTTCGTTGGGGACTGGGCATAAAAGGGAAGCTCCCTGGACGATCAGGGCCAGTCGTAGCTCAAGACCCAAGACCCAAGACCAGCCATCGGAGGACCCTGGGACTCTGTGAGAGCCAGTGGTGGGACTCTGGAACTCCCGACTCTACGACCTTGTGAGGGCGAGTTCCAGAGCGTAGCCAGAGTAGAGTATCTATGCTGTGTACCTAGGCTGTGTACCTAGGCTGTAACAGAGTATCAGGGGTGTTGGAGAGTTGGAGTGTTGGACTGTTGGAGTGCTGTTGGAGTGGAATAAAGAAGTTACCTCTACAAGTGTCTCCGGAACCTGTTACACGAGCAGTGTGGTGTTTTGTGGCACGTGAGGGCCGATGTAATGTCTCTTGCTCGCCGTTGCAGAGATACAAACGATACCCAAAGATACGATCACTACCCAGAGATATAATCACTATCCAGAGATAGAAATGCTACCATGAGATACGGACGCTCACCAAAGACTCCAACGCTACCAAGAGATAGGAACGCTACCCAGATATACGATCACTACCCAGACATATGAACGCTTCCCAGAGATATCAACACTATCCAGAGAAATGAACGCTACCCAGAGATACAATCACTACACATAGATACGATCACTATCCAGAGATACGAACGTTACCCAGAGATATGATCACTACCCAGAAATAGATCACTACCCAGAGATACGAATGCTAACCAGAGATACAATCACGACCTCTAAATAGATCACTACCCAGAGATACGAATGCTAACAAGAGATAGAATCACGACCAAGACATAGATCACTTTCCAGAGATATGAACGCTAACCAGAGATACAATCACTACCCAGAGATAGATCACTACCCAGAGATACGAATGCTAACAAGAGATACGAACGTTAACCAAAGATAGATCACTACCCAGAGATATGATCACTTCCCAGAGATTCGAACACTAACAAGAGATACAATCACGACCTAGACATAGATCACTATCCAGAGATATGAACGCGACCCAGAGATACGATCGCTACCCAGAGATAGATCGCTACCCAAGAGATACGATCACTATCCAAAGATATGAACGTTACCCTGAGATACAATAGCTACCCAGACATACGAACGTTTCCCAGAAATATGATCACTACCCAGATATACGAACGCTACCCAGAGATACAATCACTACCCCGAGATAGAAATACTACCCCGAGATACGAACGTTCCCCTGAGATACGACCCAGATATTTCAAAGCTACCCCAAAAGAGCAATTTTAATGCTTTTCCATCACAAGACTCTTTACACAAAAATGTATTACCATAAATGAACTACACTACCTTGCTGATCTCGTCAAGGAGCATAAACCATCACGCAAACTCCGGTCATCCTCATATCAGCGGCTTTTAGATAATCATCAAGGCGGTCACTACTTCACACGCTTTCAGATGCGCTTCTGCGGTCAACTGGAACTCCCTTTCATCCGATACTAAGAAGCCACTATGCACGTTTAAAGTATCCGTAATGATACCTAATTTCTTGAGAACTGCTTTTTGTGTTACGTTTGTTGTCCTTCCCCACAGCTCCGGTTAGAGCAGTAGGCTATGTCCGGTGTGAAAGATGTTCGACATACATACATACAAAACCACCCACTCTTGTTCCCTCTTCATGAAGCTGTCCAGTCATCTCAACGAGAGAAAAAAAAACATATTTCGTTCCCGAATGCTTTTTTGCTCACCTGTTCTCTTGTTATGAACACAGTGGGAGAGAGACAGCATGGCTCCACGAGGTACAAGTTCATTCCACGGACTTACCAAGGGATTCAGTGACAGCTAGTGCTCCAGATGATGTTAGGCTAACATATTCTATGGAATTGCATCACACATAGCAAAGATTATGTGTCGTGTGTTTAGAACAGCAGATACCAAAATAAGAATAAAACCATTTTGTTTACATTTAATGTATTCTTACAGTACAACAAATAATTTATACAACAAACTCTCATGGGATATTGTAATACATAATTTTAATCTTAGAAGCCAAATTCAACAAAGCAATGCTTTTCATTAAAATTTCATACAAAGCAATTAAATAACAAGATTCATAATTCATATCTAAATTAATTGAAATTTTATTTAAAAATTTCTGAAAATGTTATGTGTCATAGATAACAATGCTGAGTTAGTTTCGTGATGGGGTTTTTTTCACTGTCAGCAGTTTAATATGCAGTCATTTTCAAATCATAAAGCAAGGTGGGTGGCATGTGGTCTCCAACCAATCAGAAAGCTGGAAACAAATGATTACTAACATACACGCTAGTGTGGAAATTTGTGTTTTTCATCATTGACAAGATAATTATATTTGCAAAAAGGATGTTTTGCTGCAAAAACAACAGACAGTATGTGCCACTCATGTGTTCCTCCTCTGTATCCTCTTCATTCCAGTTGTCATCGTTACTTTATGACACTCATTATAGTCACTTTACTCGAGTGGCTGATTTGTGTTCTGGATGCTTGAGACGAAAATGGAGACATAGGGAATGCTACGTGCAACACCCCAAGTAAGGCAATACTTCTTTTGTACGACAAAGGTTTAATGTGAGCACGGTGATTACTGTGATATTTGCTTCTGCGTTGAGCTCATGTAGCACTTGTGTACAAAGCTGTTAGAAGGGGAAGGTGGGTGATAAATGGCTGAACCATTTACATTGTTTAATAATCAGGTGGAATCCAGATGTTGGAGGAATGGGTTGGTGGATCAAGCAGATCGTTAAACTCCCAAAGCTGCTGAATTACTAAAGAAGCCGGGAGTTGCCATTATACCAAATATATATTAAAACATATTTTGCATGGCGTTCTGAGCGTTATACACTCGTTTTCACGGGAATTACCCTGTTATTTCAATTGCTTCCAAATTTTAAACACGAATGGAATTGTCCAAACATCCATCCTGAAAAAGGGCATGGAGAATCAGATCTGCTTTACTGGATGCATCAATGACATTTGAGTATTCGTCTTCCACACAGTGTGGGTTGGAGGCCCTCATCCAGCAGCGGATTGACAAAAGGGCTGGCTGCCCTTCATCAGCATCATCATCATCTGTCCTTTGACCACAATGGTCATGAGGGCACCCCTTGATGCCTTGGCAATCAAATGCTCCACGTTTGCCAGTCCTTCACAGTCTATAAGATGCATGCACAACTAAATTTTTACTTCAAATACAGACACACTTAACATTATAGTGGAATAAGCTGTTGTGGAATGTTCACATTCATAACACAACGTGCAGCACATTTCAAGCCCTACTCATAATTGTGGCATTACCTAATACAAAATCACATTGTACTTATAATATTAAAATAGGTTTCATATATCTGCAGAACCATATAAGGATGTTTCTTCACGTGTGGTCATGTTGTCGTATTAGATCACATCCTGAGTTTAGGTGGTAAGTCCGAAAAACAATTAGTCATAGCTTTGTGGATACAAACACTGCCTATCATCGGCATTATCTAACGTAAATGTCATTTAAATAAGTCATTTCATTACATTTGTAATTGTATCTAAATTATACACCTAAAGATAATTGGTCATAAATTATCCAATTTACATTTCCTCCAGTAATGTAAATGCATTCTTCCCATCTCTCAAGCTCATAATACAGTTGGGAATGGTTAAACCGCTCAAGTAGTTATGTTTACAATATTCTACAAATACGAATAACTTCCCTTACATTGACACACGTGATTATGCTTGTAGTCTTATGCTAAAAATGAAAGATGACACAACAGAAACCATTGCTCTTCAAAAACACCATGTCCATTTATTGATGTTTATGTTCACATTACACATAATATGAATGTCAAAGTAAATGGAATCCACAAGTAGCCTCTGTATCATTTACAGTACTGTGCCCGCCACATTAACACACTTTGTTCTCCTGTAATTTAAGGCCGTATAATACGGAGGACAATTTGGACGTTGGGAATGTGTGTTTGAATCTAGTTATTTAGAATGATCTTGCAGAACACATAATAGAGGTATTTTGAGTTAGGTTACGTAAATTTAAATGTGTCGTTAAAACTACCCCCACCCGACAGCCAATCAGTAAGGTTTGTCACGTAAACAAAACATGCCAATTAGTTACTAGTTCAGCACACCGGTGTGTTGGAGAGTAAACCCTCAACATTGACAATTCGAGTACAAGGTTTCGCCGCGAATTACGAGCCTGATCACACTAACCCAAATAACCCCCCCTCTGCCCGCCCCCCCTCTCTCTCTATTTAAAGCCTCGACACAGAAGCGTTGTCTTTCTGTGTGTCTATGTGTGTGTCTCTCTCGGTTTGTCTCTGTGTCAGTCGCTCTCTGCTTGTGTGTCTGTCCGTGTGTCTCCGTATCTATGTTTTGTCTCTCTCTCAAATTTAGCAATCTTTGGAAGAATGTAATCAACCAAGTGGGGTGTTGATTGTTGTGTTGGCCGACTCTCTGTGTTGTATTGCATTATATTTCCAAGTTTACTATGTTTGTTTTCTCATTCATTTGTACCTGATGATGGTTGCTTGTGTTTCAATCGAAACGTCGTATTCTATTATTATTTTATTTCTTTCTATGTGACTTTACTGAAAGCACCAAAGAGTAACCCAAATCACCTTTATTATGGATATTGGTCGAGGAAGCCTAAATGTTAAACTTGTGGAACACAGTTCTTCATAGCAATACTTGACCACCCAGAGGCCAGAGGCCATCACCAGCCATCCAGGATCATCTTTGCGCAGCAGATATCTCTCCCAATTTTAAAAGGAACACGTTCGTATTTATATTCTGAGAGACAATTATCCACCGTACCATATTCTCTGAATTATAAGTCACATTCTTTGTCCCAATCGGCCACTCTATATTTTGTAAACTTACATTTCATACCTGCTTTCCTGGGATGTCATTTTCAAAATAATCCCAAAGTTTGTGGTGTATTTTACCTCCGGAGTGTCTTATTATCATAAGAATATGGTCGTTTAAAAAGATAACTGTGCTACTGGTGTCTTGTCGTGAGCTTTATATATTTAATTGTTGATGTCTCACAGCAATTAGCATGCGGTCGAATGATAGAGCATGACCCAGCATGGTAATGTTATGGATTACATTATATAAGCCTTTTAAATGGCCTCATACCCACACGAGGTAATGCCTCATTTCAAATGCCCTGCAAAGTGGCAACCAAACTTGATTCTTTAACCCTCAGAGGGGACGAAATATGCCAAATTATCGCGGTTAATCACATTTAATCATCAGTGACTGTGATGAGATCATCAGTTTGAGACCCCAGTCTAATCACGAGTACTGTAAAGATTAAAATTCCTACTTTTTGAAGAGTTTTCTCAGTGTCCTGACAGAATCGCATCCCTCTGAGTCACCTACAGGACTCAGTGACCAGTAATATAGAGGTATTGAGGTTCTTCCTATGCAGTGTGTAGCCTACTTCATGTTTAATCATAAAAACTATTTGATATGTTTTTTGTCTTAGCATAATGTTTCGTTTCTAACCTAAACGTTTGCATAGATTTGTAAGCAAATTTGCACTTACAATAAAGCAAGCCTGTTCGCCAGATTGTGGCACTAGAGTGCAGGCACTATTTCATACAATGAAGCAACCTGAACAGACCTACTACTCCAACACGAGAAACTTGTTGAGATTCTGAGCGACCGGTGCCTCTCGTGCTAGCACAGTGGCGGCGGGGGGCGCGGTGCTCCTGGGGCCGTGCCCGGCGGTGGCCGTGGCCATGGCGGGAAATCTCCCGTTGCAAGTCGTCGGCGCGAAGCTTTCGCGGGCCTGGTCGGCCATGTTGCTCGGCGAGCTCGTTCCGCTATGGCCGGCGGCGGTGGCGTTGTCGAAGCAACAGACACAGTGGTCCTGCCCGCAGCGGCCACTGCACCCGGCCTCCGATCCGGCGTCGCTCTCGTCATCACCACCGCTGCTGTAGGAGCTGTCGCAGCATGACGCCTTGGCAAGCGATCGGTGCAGCGTGGGGGTTAGGCACGGGATCCAGCTCCGTGGGACCAGGAACGTGGCCAAGTTGAAGAGGTCCACGAACACCTTGTAGCGGTCACTGGGGCAATGTGGGACATGGGTGAAGGATCAAGCAGGTCAACGACGTCGTCATCATGGACAAAGTTCTAATTTCTTTCGACTTTATTTTTGATGCCCCCAGGGTCTGGAATGCTATCGCCAATAAACTGTAACTTGGATCACTACCTGTCAGATCTTCACTCAAAACTGCTCTAGAGGAGTATTACACCCCTAGCTGCCACTGCTATTCAGAATGGCCTGAAATCAAATGTATCATTCCAGTATGATCTTGAGTTTTGATTATAGTGTGCTGATCTTTAAAGGTGTATTGAAAATTGTTGATACTGCTACTGATACTCCTGCTGTTATGGAGTGACTCATGCAGCCAGCTATGGCTGCAAAGTTTGGCCGTACATTTCATGAATATCGTTTATTGTTAAATTTGAATCACAGTTCCTATGATCACTGTTACATTGTTTTTTATAGCGTTATTTTCGTGATTTTGAAAGGTTTTGGTTTAGCCATGTTTGTTCGTTGTAGTACAGAGTTAGCCTGATAACTTTAATCTAAATTGTCTTATGGTTGTTATTATTTGACTTGCATCCTACTGGGATTTTTGCACACAGCGTTGAAATACGGTGTTTTTTCTGGAAGACTTTTGCTGTTTTTTCCTGGATTTTTCTGTTGCGTGTAGTCACTTTAAGATGTTTCTTGTTTATGTGTTTGTTTGTTGCGGTTGCACCCGAGTCAAGAGCCGCATGGCTCACAGGGTTATACCTAATAATATTTGAAACTGAAAACTGAAACCAGGTAAGGCCCACTGAGCTGTATGGTTATTTTTTTCAGAAGCGACCTGGCCATCACAAATTATAGCTCAACAAAGTGGCTTATCGCATGGAAATTTACATCAGCCAAATACTCTAAATGCGTGATGTTGATTCGAAATGTGGAGGGAAAAACGAGAGGACCCGTTAAAAAAAATCCAGGAGACCACGGGAAAACATTCATACTCCAAATATACAGGTGTATACCGGGCGAGGTATTTATCTCGCCATTGTGGCAAGATGTCAACGGCACCTCGCCAACACTCTCTACCCGCTAAAAACTCAGAGAGTGAGAGTAAAGAAAACGTAAAAAATAAGTCTGCATTCTTCTTTAGTTTTGAGTTTAGAAACATATCTCTTTGATTAGCACGCTTGACTTGCAACCCAAAGGTGGGATCTCCCGTCGTGGCAGTTGAATCAATGTGTCAAATGATTTGTACCGAGATCTGCTACTGGTACCGTGCTGAACTTCATGACAAAAACGGCAGTTTTTATAGACTTTGACGAACTGAGAAATACGTCCGTGATCGGTCTGTCTGTGTCTGGCAAGACGTTGTCTACCTCGCCTGGTATACTGGAGGTCATGGGTTCGATCCCGATCCTATTGCCTGTATATTTGGAGTTTTCATGTTCTCCCCATGTGGACGCATGGATTTTTGTCTGGGTCCTCTGGTTTTTTCCTCCACATTTAGAATCAGCATGCGTTTAGAGTATCTGGCTGCTATAAATTTACACGCGATAAGCCACTTCGTTGAGCTAACAGTTGTGGCCAGGTCGCTTCCGAAAACGAGCTATATTGCTCAGTGGGTCTTACCTGGTAAAATAAAAAATAGTTTAGTTTAGTATTCCTACTCAAAACTAAGTGGCACTCATTCATGTCCTGTAAATAATGTTCATCATATATAAATCATCAGCTATATTAATACATTTTTACTTCAAATCGGTTTAGGCAGCCCCAGCCTCTTAATGGCCATCAGTGTGCAAGTAAGGGGCAGTGTGTCAACTGCTCCTTGTATGGAAAAATAAGAATAGGTTTTACCCTTTATGACAATAAAATGGGTGTTAACATGTTGAAACACCAAATAAAAATCTTTTGCAACGGTTTTATTGTCAGAAAAGGCAAAACCTATTCTTATTTTTTCATACTTTGATACTGACAAAAAGGTCCCATTTTGGAGCTGCTCACCTCGAGCTATACAGGTTCCGATAATGCATTGTCTTTGTACTGTTCGCCTTTCGTCGTTCTCTGGTCTGACACTGGTGAGACGAGGCCAATCATATATAATTATCAGAGCATGTTTGTTAGCATATTCACCACAAGCGTGTGTGGTTAATGCAGACTTGATTCCTTGCAAAAAGATTCTATTTGGTGTTTGAACATCTTAACACCTGTTTTATTGCCAGAAAGGGTAAAACCTTTTCTTATTTTATTTCATACTTTGCTCTTAGCAAAAAGGTCCCATTTTGCTCCTTGTATGTTAAATAATTATTAAATAGCTGTTTCATTCAATCCTGTAATATGCTGAAGAAAACAATGGGGTACAGATTCATTTATACTTGAAATCATAAAGTTACCCCAACAGGTAAAAAACAAAAATGCATTTTCTGTCACAATAATACAACTAATTATCCATCTATAAAAATTTACTTATTGCATTTCATATATTTTTACAGCAAGCAGTCGGTGCAGGGAAGACAATATCTTGCAACATATGTGATGGGGAAAAGAGTGGGGTCCACAGAGCAGAGCAAAAACGCGGCTTATTTTTCCCTGCTGAATGTCACCTAACGTTACTTTCCTGCCAGCGCATTGCAATGTCCCGCATTTGGAAAGTGTGATGACGACGACGACAATGACAAGCATTGTTGATGTCACTTAAAACATTAATGGCAATCATTGCTCCACGGTGGTGAGATATTAAATCCCTCACCTCGTATGCAGGAGGTCATGGGTTTGATCCCGCCCCTGACGCCTGTTGTATTTTTGGAGTTTGTATGTTAACTCTCTCTTTCCGTGGTCACGTGGATTTATCTCCGGGTCCTCCAATTTTTCCTCTCCACGTTTAGAATCAACATCACGCATTTAGAGTAATTTGGCTGCTATAATTGTCCATGCAATAAGCCACTTCGTTGGGCTATCATTTGTGATGGCGAGGTCACTTCTTAAAAAATTAACCCGTAAAAACAAAGTTTATCATTATAAATCCTTAATATGCGTGGCGGCTAGAGTCCTCTCGTCCTCTGGCTTGAGATGGCTGCCACCTATGGGTCAGATGATTGCCTGCCACCATTAAGCAATTGGTAATTAAATATATATATATTTTTTCCTAAAAAGTGTAAAATTTTGGAATAAATAAATTGTTCCGCACAACGAGTCTGTGTGCAAAATGTCAGCTCGATTGGATCACGGGAAGTGGGTTAAAAAACGACCAAAAGATTTGCACGGTTGTAAGCGCGCAAGCAAGCAAGCAAGTGAACTTAATATAAAGGATTTAAAAAGAGCTAATAGCCCAGTGGGACTTTACCTGATAAAATAAAAAAAATAGTTTCTAGTTTTAGTTTAGACTGGCAAAGGAGATAACGGAAAGGGAGATGGAGCTCACCTGACGGTGGAGCGCAGGTACTGGTAGCCCGACGATCCACCCGTCCCGGCCTTGCTGCCAATCATGCGCTGCACGAGGCACACGTGATTATCTGCATCCAATATCAGGCGTACGAGGATCAATTGAAGCCACTTCATTCGTTCAACAGGACAATCGCAAAGGTCAGCCTGTGACATTTTCTCCCCGGCAACAAACTTTTGACTGGGCAATTCCAATTCAAAGAACATTTTGTAGTGGCACAAATTGGAAAAGTTTTCCAAAAATGTGAACTAACTGTGCAATACACTTTTTCAAATACGGAATTACACTGAGAGTATGCTTTGAAATCCAATCAACTACCTGTTATGAAACATGAATCAGATACATAAAAATGATAGAGAACCATAATACAGGTTTTTTATGCAATCTAACCCAAAAAACTGTATTAGGTCTGATATTTGTAGCAGAAGTCTGTAATAAATTGATAGAGAAAATGAAACAAAAACTGAAAAGTATGCAGACAAGCATGGAAAGAAGCATACTGGGAATTTTCGCTGAGAGACAGAATAACCACATGGATCAGAGAACAAACACAATTTCGAGATGACATATTGATTGCTCAAAAAGCCAGTCGACTTGTGCAGGACACACTCTGAGAAGGGATAATGGCCAGTGTTTGAGATTAACAATGGATTAGCAACACGCCTGAGAGGATGTTAACTGTACAAATGGAGCAATGAATTCAGTTCGTGCACAGAAGCTGGATGGATTGATGCATCGTGAGACCATGAAGGATGTGGGGTTTTATTTGTTATTTATAAATATTTTGTCTTTATGCCTTTTTTGGTGACAGCTTGGATGACCATGTAAATGTCTGCCGAGTCAAATGCCCTTCGCAGAAGAACAAAGGGGGGATGCTCCCGTATCAGGTGGTAAAATTGTGGACACGAAAGAAGTGGGACCGGCTATGGGACACAAATCATTGGTTATCTCTCTTAAATCTTTACACAAATTAAATACCTCAATCTTGAAATTATGCCTAAATCAGTCTTCTATTTGAAAAATGTGGCGATAAAACTGACTTGAAAAATTATAGACATCTAGTCTCTTATCGCGTGTACTGTATACATATTTTTCATGAAGAATATTGGGGGGGAAATAATGGAAAAATTAGAGGCCAGCCAAACCACACGAGCAAGGAAAGGTTTCTCTACCATCACCCACTTTATGACTATCAATCAGATTATGGAAGATGAATGAATAACAAATACCATTTTGCCACACCTTTATATTTTAACGGAAAAAAAAACACCGACTCAGTACTATAACATTGTATAAAACCATTTCAAGTGACAAAACTCCCCATGGTGGGTACAATGAATTCATTGTGTATGAATGTTCTACTTCGAAATAATTTGCAGAAGACGTGGCTGCCCATCAGCAGCCACTGTGCACAGCATCAAAGTTAAAATGTTTCATTCTGCCAATGAGATTTCGACATCATTGTAATGTCGTTTGAGGAGCGAGTTTTCTCCACATGTGCAAAATGTCTCATGGCCAACAGTTTCAAAGTGGCAACGCTTTTTTGAACCAATGCTGAGCAGCATCTCACAGCCAAGAAAAGGCAACTTCATAGCCAGGCTTAAAAAGTGACTCCCACTAAGCCCACTACGGTAGCACTCCGGTCTCACAGCTCTGGAATGGTAAAAAAAACCCATCATGCTCAAGTGAGAACTGGACATTTCTCATATTCGATGGAGCCCCAAACAAGTGGTTGAATTTCATATTCCCACCACGTGGCCAATTTCTCCCGAGGACAACCACTGTTGATTTCCGACAAAGTGGTACTTATTTTCTTTCAACACGAGAGATGACAGGTTGAGTTGACAAAGACATCCTTCAGAAGATTATAGTGACAGTGAATTCAACTTCCAAATTTTGAAAATGACCAACATTCGCCCCCTTGTATCCATTGCACTACCATTGCTCTAAACGTATTGAATAGGGTAAGTGAGAAATCATTATTCACAATGTATTCAAATTACATTCTAATGGTATGCCAATGTTACATTACAAAGCCACGGGCGCAAAGACAATTACAAACGAGGCAGAATAAAATTACGATAAAAATGAGACGCAACAAACGAGACAAAAAAAGAATGGTGGTATTCTTGAATCAAATGACGATGCCAAATGCCGAAAAATCATCGCAGACCTTGGGGGGTGAATTGCCTGTTTCTTTAGGCGACTGAATAAACTATCGAAAATGACTTGTGGCTTTTTCGAGGTCACTGAAAATACATATATTTCATGGGACCTCCTTTGCCAGTACCAAAATATGATATGTTTTTCCCCTTTTTTATGGCAACAAAACAGGTGTTCAGATGTTAAAACACCAAACTGAAACCTTTTACAAGGCATCATGTCTGCATTAACCATAATGCTTGTGGTCAGAATGCAAACAAAAAACATGATTTGATAATATATGCATTGTCCTTGAAACTGATTGGTCCACACCAAAGAGAGCTTTCTTTTGAGCCTCGTCTCAAACGAGGCTTTTACTGGCAAAGAAAATCCCATGATGTAGATGTTCACCCCGAGCTCTCATTACTCTGACAGTGCATTGTCTTTGGGCTGTACGCCTTTTGGCGTCCTCTGGTCTAACACCGTTTGAGACGAGGCTCAAAAGAAAGCTGTCTCTGGTGTGGACCAATCCGTTGCAAGGACAATGCATATAGTATCAGATTATGTTTTTTTGTTTGCATTCTGACCACAAGCATTGTGGTTAATGCAGACATGATTCCTTATAAAAGGTTTCAGTTTGGTGTTTTAACATCTTAACACCTGTTTTGTTGCCAGAAAAAAATGGGAAAAACCTATTATAAATACGTATATTATTTTGCTTGTCTATCAAGAGCCTCAAAGTAGTGACTCATTTCCCGAATGTCGTATAGGTCTTATTCTATTGAGTGACTTAAGCTTGTGATGCGAATTCTAACTATCGAACCCATATAGTGTGTTGTTAATGATAGTGTCTTCAATTGCATGCCTTGTGAATGATCTTTATATGGAATATGCTTTAATTTCTTTTTCAAAGGTTGATGAAATGTGTGTTTTCATTGGGCATGCTGTTGTAAACATACACTAGTTGTTCAAATGCATCCTTCAAATTGGATCTACCTTGGCTTAGAATTCATAGTTACACACAAAGACACAATGTACTTTCTGTGTCACTGTGGAGCCAAAGACATGACTAAATCAATACCATTTACAAAGTACACAATACTGGAATGTTACACAGCAACGATCCGTTTCCCATGGGAAATATTTCTTCGGAGCCAGTAATTTCCCAAGTAGCATCACATTTGCACTAAATATGCCAATATGTATAATTACGGCCGGGAAATCAATGATGTTCACGTTCACTTGAGTTTAACTGTACAAATACCTTTAAATAACAATTATTTTCAAGAAACTGTGTCACTTCCAATGGGTGTCAGGCTTGCACAAAATTGAGGGAGGTCAGCGAGGTGGGGGCGACACGTGGTGAATCCCAGCCTTGTTGCTCTTCTTCCCTCAAACCGGGAGTAGCATCTCTGCAAACATGATGGGAATGCCTTGTGCTACCTTCCCCCCTGTAGAGCCCACTAAGTGCATGCACAGCCGGAAAGCCGCGATGCTTGTTTCCGTGCTGATTACGTGAAGTTGTTTTTCGTTCAAACACACTGGCTGTACTGAAACATCGTCACCTCTCTATTTTGTTCACGTTTCAAACACTGCCCGGCTGAAATAGTTTTGACCTCTTTTTGCTCACGCTGTTTTGTTTTCAAAGCATAAAGTAATTTACGGCAAACAGCTCAGACTGGTTGTTCAATGTAGTGTTTTATGACCTAAACATGCTTTAAAAATGTTTATAATATACATGTATGCCTTACCAACAAAAATGTACTTGCATTACATTATTGCTTGAAATATTCAAAAACGCCAATTCTATTTAGTTCCATGCATCCAAACAATGGACAGGGCTCGTCCCCACCGTCCATGGCCAAAGCTTTCACGGCACCACCACCCAAGGCAACTCCTTCTTTCAATATAATTATCTGCAGAGTTCGTCAAGTCAGTTTACATTCACACGATTTAATACAGGAACACCGGTGACATGTGTCTTACAAACAACTGCTATTGGGATATATAATTTACTAAGCAATGCTCTTGCTACATTAGCCCAGACCCTTGTATCATGATAAATAAGGCTATAGAAAAAAAACATGCTATCTTGGTAGGCCGTGTTCCATCGGAATTAAGACCAGCTATTTCTGTTTGCTATGAGCAACGCAGACGCTTGCCAACTCTTCTGATTTGATGCAATTGCGATGGCAAAAAAAACTCAACTTCGTAAATTATAATGAAACTTCTATTGCATTTAACTATTTGGAATAATTTTGATTTGAAGCTTTCGTGACTGCAGGAATCCATACTTTTGGGTGCTTTCGGTAAAGTCACGTAGGTAGAAAAATAATAGATCGCAACACAAGCAATCATCATCAGGTGGGACAACCACAGCAAGAAAAACTGCTGAAGTAGGCGAGAGATCTGCCGTGGCACGAGGAGGTGGGTGGAGAGAGGGGGCGGAGCAGAAAGTGGCCCTGCGGCAGCACTTAAGTCAACGGGGGAGAAAACTGAGAGATCGGCTTCAGGGGGGGGGGAAGAGAAGGGGAGGAGGAGGCGGGGCAGAAAGTGGACCCCGCGGCAGCACCCGGGTCACTGGAGAAGAGATCGGAGAGAGATGCACAGAGAGAGAGAAAGACACACAGAGAGTCGGAGTAGGGGGGGGAGGCGGGGCAGCAATTTTTGCCTCCGCATTTAGAAACATGCCTTTAGAGTACAGTTGATTCTGGATTATCTGGCGTACAATTATCTGGCTTCCAACATTATCCGGCGATCTCGAGCTGATCCGGCGAAACCACCAAAACCGCTCCAAAGGCTGTAACCAGTCCGGCGATCGGCACCATGTGCGTAACAAAAAAAGATAGCTAAGCTTTATTTCAGTATCAAATATATACAGTAGATGATACACTACATACAACAACTTAAACAATAAAAAGGACCCCCGCGGCAGCACTTGAGTCAATGGGGAAGAGATCTGAGAGATCGGCTGCAGGGGGGGAGAGACAATAAGGCTCACCTGATCGAGTCTCTCACCTTTCTGAAGAGATGCCACGACACCAAGGTAATACCGATCGCCTTTACATTCACATCTGCTGCTGTCACTTCTCCTAAATCTAAACGGATCTTAAGGGCCAGCCTAGCTCTAATATCAGAGAGAATAAGATTGCTCCGATTTGAACTTGATAATTTAGACAAGATTCTCTTACAATCACACTTAGAATTAACATAAAAAAATTCCACATCTGATTGGGACCATGTAAATAACATGACAGTTTCTTCAGCTACTGAAATGTTCACCAAATGTAAAGTTAACTTAATTGAAAAATTCAACCTCCTGTCAAAAAGAGAAGCCATAGCCACACGTTAAAAAGTTAGATGTTAACAAGATTGTCATTAATAATAGTAACATCCCAATTTCCGACAGCCTAAAATCGGTACTAGCTAAAGGGTTACATTTCACAGTCACCCCTAAACACATCCCAGTGGATGATATAATTGCCCAGGTCGACGTAGCCCTCAAAGGTTTGGGACACATGCCGGCAGACGTTGCTATATCTGAAATCGCTGCTATCCTCAAAAATGCTAAGAAACCCATTAGCAACATCAGCAAGGACGAGCGTTTTGATCTCTCTCAATTAAAAAACAGAGATGACATAGTCATCCTCTCAGCCGACAAGGGCAATGCCACTGTCATCATAGATAAAACCACTTCCAACAATACAATTCAGGACCTTCTGAATGATGGCAGCTATACCAAAATCAACAGAGATCCCACCAACCGTCTAGCTACAAAAGGCAACAATATCATCACTAATTCGACTTCTCTAATCGATTCGACCAAGCAGCACTCTCTAAAACCTTCGGCTGCTAAACCACCCAGATTTAATGGACTTCCAAAGATCCACAAATAAATTTTGATTTAAAGCTTTCGTGACTGCAGGGATTCATCTTCTTGGTTCTTTCGGTAAAGTCACGTAGAAGGGAAGTAATAAAATAATAAAAATAATAAAAATAAAACATAATTTTATTATTTTATTACTTCCCTTCTACGTGACTTTACCGAAAGAACCAAGAAGATCCACAAATAAGTTACTCCACTCAGTCCTATCGTCTACACCATTAACTCACCCACCTACAAACTGGCCCGATTTCTCTCTGAGACTCTGCTTCCTTTCACGGGCAAGATCACCTCAGCTGTAACTGAACTCAGCTCACTTGGTTTCTCTAATCAAGGACATCTCACTGTCTCCAGATGATGTACTTGTCAGTTTCGATGTAGTCTCCCTGTTCACCAAGGTACCTGTACCTGACACCATTGCAATCATTGAAGACTTGGTCCAACAGGGACTGAATTCATATGTACCAACTTTGGTAAGGCACTGCCTTACTAACACCTACTTCACCTGGAATGGTACATTCTACAAAGAGAATGAGGGTACCCCAATGGGTTCTCTATTATCACCAGTGGTAGCGAATGTTTTCATTGAGAAATTTTAGACAGATGCCATCCAGACATCCACCATACGTCCTTCCTTGTGGAAGAGATACGTAGATGACACGTTCGTCATCTGGCCACATGGCCTGCCAGCACTGAACTAATTTCTCAACCACATCAATTCCAAAGACCATGGAAGTGGAAAAGGATGGCCCGCTACCATTCCTGGATGATTTGATCGAGAAGAGACCTGATGGCTCGTTGGGACACTCTGTCTACAGGAAAGCCACCCACATGGATACCTATCTAAAGCCTGACTCCCACCACCATCCAGCTCAGAAGAATTCCCTCATCAAAACACTACACCATAGGGCCCGTTGCATCTACGACCAGCATCACCTAGCCAGTGAGCTGGAGCACGTACACCAAGCCCTCAGGATGAACGGATATTCTGACCATACAATCCGCAAAGCTGTCTCCCCAGCCATGGGGAGACAACCATCTGAGGATCTAACCAATACCATCACTTTGCCATACATAGCAGGGGTTACCAAAAGATTTACAAAATCTTAAACAAACACAAGATCCAGGTTCGTTTGAACACAGTACACAAAATCCGTGATTTGATCCCATCTGTACAGGATGTGATTCCTGATATGCAATACCCGGGTGTCTACAAACTGAGTTGTGGCTGCAGCAGCAGTTACATTGGGGAAACGAAACGACATGTCTCGGACCGCGGTCGCGAACACAAGGCAGATCTTAAACACGGTAGGACCAATACCTCTGCTGTTGCTGATCATTGTTTTAACGCTGTGGGCTCACACGAAATTGACTTTTCCAAGACGAAGGTACTCTGCAAACCCACCAGATATTATCAGAGATTTATAAACACAGACACAACTTCAACCGACAAGATGGGTACAAACTGATCAATCATTGGAAGGACGTTATTAACCAGGTAAAGTCTTAACTGACTGTGATGTTTCCATCCTACCTGCCTATGATAGCTGTTATTTCTGACTCGCTGTGTCTTTCTTTCTCTCTGTGCATCTCTCTCCGATCTCTCCTCCGTTGACACAAGTGCTGCCGCGGGGTCCACTTTCTGCCCCGCCCCCTCTCACCACCCACCTCCTCTCTCCCCCCTACTCTGACTCTCTGTGTGTCTTTCTCTCTCTCTCTCTCTCTGTGCATCTCTCTCCTATCTCTACTCCAGTGACCCGGGTGGTACCGTGGGGTCCACTATCTGCCCGGCCTCCTACCCCCCCCCCCTTCTCTCTCCCCTTCTGCAGCCGATCACTCAGATCTCTCCCCCGTTGACTCAAGTGCTGCTGCGAAGTCCACTTTCTGCCCCGCCCCCTCTCTCCCCCCACCTCCTCCCCCCATACTGCCGAGACCTATATAACCTCGTGCCACGGCAGATCTCTCGCCTACTTCAGCAGTTTTTATTGCTGTGGTTGTCCCACCTGATAACGATTGCTTGTGTTGTGATTGAAACGTCGTGATCTATTATTTTTCTACCTACGTGATTTTACCGAAAGAACCAAAAAGTAATGTAGAATAATGTTCATCCGTAAAAGCCAAAACTGAGTATTCAAGTCTTCTGACTCAGTGAGGGGTGTCCTGCATTGGAACGTTCGGATGGTCTCTGTCGATTGTTTAGCGTGTAGGACGAAATCAAAGTGCCTGGAGAAAAGACCACGTGCACCACGGAGAGACAAAGATCCACTGAAGCAATGTAGGAACCCCTTGGCTGGCCGCTTTGTCGTTCAACATTTCAGCAAATTTCATGCACACGATGAAACATACGTGATCCACCAACCCTGCCTCAAATGTATTAGATTCCAGGTGTGGCTGTCAAGATCACCACAATGAGTGGAGAGACAATGCATATACATCTCTAAGTATGGTAACGACACAAGGGTTAAACATGAGTGACAGGTGAACAGTATTATTCGAACACAAACACGGAAATGTGATAATACTAATAATGCTGTTTGATTATCCAAGAACACTGTGCACTGAGTGTCATGACTTTCAAGACAGATCTGCATTGTATTGTATGCCCAATGCATATTTAATGATTCTTCTTAGATACTAGCACACACGTTCTATTCTATGAGCAGCCAGCCAGGGGCTAGCCAGCTGTCCAATCAGGCAACCTACCAGCCAGCCAACCAGCCAAACTTATCGTATGATGATGATGGGAAAAGTGACAAAAAAGCAATTAAATAGATTTAAATTATTTAGTGGTGAAAAAAAACCTAGACATGTTTAATTAAATTACAATATTTCTCTGAACAAAACACCTGTTAATCTGTTCCTTCCCAATATTATCGGCAATATGATAGCAACCTATCATATTGCCGCACTGTTGCCTTGCAGGGATCATCTCCTACAGGCTGCATCTCTGCATTGTCCACAATGACTGCTGAAATTTCCATTGTCATGGTAGATGTCATTCTTGTGACCTCAACAGTTAATTCATGGTTGGGCAAGATACAGGCTGCACTTCGTTTTAACATCGAGGTCAGGCAAGCCAAGCCACGAATTATACCTGTAAAAAACCCACACATTACTTCGTATTAAACATTTAGTCACCAGAGAACGCCTCACTGAGCCTCAACTATTTTTCAGGATGGTGCTGTGAAGTTTTGCGGTGAGTGTTGACAATTGTATTTTTACTCTAAATAAATTTCTGGTAATCTTTCAAATTCAGGCCATGATGCCAGCACATATGGCCTACTCTCTTTCAAGTAACATCGCGGGATTTTTAACATCCAATGTGAAGCAGAATGCATTTTTCTTGTACGGTTAATGTATGTTGAATGCCTTTCGCACTTTACATAGCCAACCGTGCTCATACAAATGCAGTGTTAACCCAGGGAGGGTGTTGGGTTTTAATCCGCGAACCTCTGCAGCAAGCGGCAGTGGCGCACTCCCATATGGCAACACCGCAAATTCCACATAGATGGATTCTGAACCCATTTTGCTTTACTGCCATCCCGTGGCCATCTCGAAACCATGTGGGTTTGGGAGTTTTACAAAGGTGCATAATCCACAAACCAGGCCTCCAATCAACTGGCTCACAGGCGAGCGCCAACACGCCTGGGCTTGGTGTTGGAATCTTTGACAGTGTTTACACTGTGACACTTTGCTACTTACGAAGCGAGAAGACCTGGATAAATTGTTATATGTTCTCTGGCCAGCTGGTTTCTTTTATTTCACAGAAATATAGAAGAGAGAGACAGGGAGAGGGACTCACAGCGCCACTTTGTCATGAGTGAGTCGAGATCCATAAGGCTGTTGAGCAGCTGAAAAGGCACTTGAAATCGAGGCTCTTCCCTGCAGCAAAAAACACACAACGGGGCACGATGGGCAAGTCAGAAAATGTCAACACCTTCCGCATGACGGCAAATTAGCGGGACATGAAAGTGAAGAAATAAAAAGAGTAGCGTTGTTGTCAGAGTGGGGGTAAAGGGGTGTTTTTCTTCAAAGAAGATTAATGTCTCTTTTTTTACGTGAACGTTAACAAAATATATATTTACATATTTTATATATTTTTTATACCTTCAACACTACGTACAGGAAAGCACAACATTTTGCCAAAACGTAATGGCAACAGAAGAAGTGTAATAAAAAGTTAAAATAGAATTACATTTGTAATTGGGAAACCTACAGACCTTAATTTAATACAGAACAAAAAATCCGAGTGCAGATTAAGTGGGGTTTAGTTCAAGGTGAGGGTGGGCACGATTGGGTGACGAGGCTGTGTAGTTTGAATTTAATTATGTTTTAAATTACTTATAAAGTGCCCTTCATCCCATTATAATTATCAGCCATGATTAATCAATTTCGAATGAAATGTTTACTTCTTAATTTTCCACGTGAAATTACTGGACATCTGTGAAAAAGAGCCTCACGGCTCATCAGGATTAAACTCAGATTACTATTCTGATGTGCACGTGACAGGGAGTCAGACCAGAACTTGTTCGCCTTTTGGCGTCCTCTGGTCTTACACCGTTTGAGACAAGGCTTTAAAGAAAGCTGTCTCTGGTGTGGACCAATCAGTTTCAAAGACAGTGCATATACTACCAGACCATGTTTTTGTTTGCATGTTCACCACAAGTATATGTGGTAAATGCAGACATGATTCCTTGCAAAAGGTTTCTGTTTGGTGTTTTAACATCTGTTTTATTGCCAAAAAGGTTAAAACCTATTCCTTCATAATTAATCATCGCAAATGTGTCCTTATATGACCCTTACACTTGTAATACTACGTGCCTCCTCAAGGCAGGTGGTTAACGCAAGGTGAATGATCGTTTCACTCCACTTCGTAGCCTCCATCACTGGAGAATGAACCTTGATCGTCAAGGCCCGTAAAGAAACGTTGAATTGTATTAGTGTCGTCGCCAGTGATCAAAAACCCCGAATGAAATTCATCTGATTCAGCATTACTCTAAAACTATTCAACTGTTTTCATTTTACCAGGTAAGGCCCAGGACTGAGCGATACAGCTCTATTTCAGAAGCGACCTGACCACAAATTATAGCTCAACGATGCGGCTTACCACGTGGAAATGTATTGCAACCAAATACTCTAAACGCACGTTCATAAATGTTGAGGGGAAAAAACCCCGGAGGGCCCGAATAAAATTCACACGACCATGGGGAGAATATGCAAACTTAAAATATGCAGGCGTCAGGGTCGGAATCAGAACCTAGGTCCTCCTATATACCAGGAAAGGTAGTTAACATCTCACCACCGCAGGACCCTTGGGACCTAGGGCTGCCTTTCTCTTCATGTATAGTATTTGCATGTCTTTATGTATAGTATCGGCATGTCTTTATGTATAGTATCTACATGTCTTTGTTTGTGAGAGACAGAGAGAGAGAGAAAAATTATCATTCTTCCAGGGCCACTGTGTGGTTACTCCACACCCCCTACTCCTGCATCCCATGCTCACTCGTGTTGCTGTCTGCGTGTGTGTTTGTGTATATATATGCATAACCCTTTGTAATGCTAATTACGTTTGTTTTGTCCCAATATAAATATGTAACTGCACTTTGTGCATGTATTATTGATACCGGACTTACGATCTGTAGCTCCATTCTCTCATTCTTGCAACAAGGACCTTATTTCCAGAGATGTTTAGCAATGGACAAGCTGCCGGCAACATCGTGCTCTTTAAAATTGTTGAGAAATACACAGCAGTCCGAGGCGAAGCATTCTCTGCACCTTTTAAATAAAGACTCGTCTTTAGAAGAAAAAAAAAAACTCTTTCAAATTACTTTCTCAATTGTCCTGTTAGGGACATGCCATGAGAAGAGGTTTCCACTGGGATCTCTCGCACAGCAGCCCCTTTGTGTTGGAGATTGGCCCACGGACACACGTGTCGCACGGGCAACCTATTCTTCATTCTTCGAATGGAGAACGTTGTGCACCAAGAGTTCTTACAATAATAAATCTGAAAATGGTATATGCGTAGCAAAACCGAAGCTTCATATCATCGGCATGATTGTGAGGTTACGTGTAGTGAGGCGAGGAAAGCTAGTATTCATTTACATTCCATGGTCATTCGGTATGAGAGTTTTGCGTGGCACGCGTTGAGATAGATTTGATTCAACGCGACACAACCTGTAATTATTTGCGGACAAATTCTGCATCTCGTGCACTGCCGCACCTCCGATGAGCATGATAGGCTGAATACGGTGCAAAATAAGTTCTAAATACTTAATAAGCGATGGTGCCCAGTGCAGTTAACACAACCCTGGCAGTTAACACACCCTGCCACCTTGATTGCCACGTTCACCTCTCTCATGTTTACATAGATTTGAGTTTTTCTCTTGCTTAAGTGTTTTTTGCGGTTGTGCCGGACATCTCTCCCATGTGTTTTTGGGTCGTGTCGCGTGTTGCTTGGCATGATGTCCTACGTTTCACTGCATGAACTGGGAGCTTTTGCAGCAGCCTGGAAACACATTGGAGAACTATTTTTGTTGTTGTTATATTCTTCCTTTCATTGGGCATGTTTCCCTCTCCACGGTGGAGAGCAGTTAACTACCTCGCCTGGTATACAAGAAGTTGTGGGTTCGATCCCGACCCTGACACCTGTATATTTGGAGTTTGCATGTCTCTCTCCCCGTGTGGTCGTGTGGATTTTTCTCCGGGGCCTTCAGGTTTTCCCTCCACATTTAGATACATGCGTTTTGAGAATTTGGCTGCTATACATTTACACGTGATACGTCTGTTCATTTGTGGCCAGGTCGCTTTTGAAAAAGAGCTATTTCACTCAGTGGGCCTTACCTGGTAAAATAAAAAAAATAGTTAACTTTTAGTTTAGTTCATACTTTTTCTTCTTCTTCCCCCATTATTTCCCTGCTCCACGACCACCGCTTATCTGGCCTCTCAAGCACCTGGGATTTCCTTAATTTTGTTGTATCGGCAACCGAAATAATTAGTAAAAAACTCAATATTTCAAGAGCTGCAATGCACATAATGAATACGAGATGGTGGTCCTTAATAGATTACATCACGGTGCGGTCCTTAAAGAGCAGCGTGTGGATCTGCAGGTTGCCGAACCCTGGGCATGGTCATAGGGACTTACGGAAATTCCACACCCAGTGTTGGCAGAGCCTCGAACGGGACCTGCCTGCCAGATAACGCGGTGGCAGTGGGGTTGCCACGGTCACTGCATGGTGGCTCCGGGGCTATAAGAGACCATGTGGTTATACAACGACTATCCTGGGGCATACCTCCGAGACAATCTATGAGAGGGCGTGGGGGTTTGAGTTCCCGAGTTCGATTCCTGCTCACGACCACCAACACCAGTAACGATTATCTGAACCAATCCTGGGCCTCTCCTATGCCTGGTGTGGTGTGTAGTAAACATCATCACTGGGGAGACAAAGGCGATCGGACGTGGTGCTGGCAACCCACCTCCTCGTGTGCCGTGCTGGCCTTCATAGGTACTCGCTAACTGCACTTGCCCCAACAGTCTATGAAGTCTATATGGGAGATCTTTGCCTTTGGTGGGTCTGAGAAGTGGTGTGCAGCGTCTGAGCGATGGTGCCGTGAATTGTCGATTGAACTGTCTGTAAATATCGTCTTGCTACTGGGGCTTGGATTTGCTTGAGCCCTGTGCACTGTGGGTTCTATTTCTTGATATTGCCCTACACGCATTATTACTTTCGTTTTTGTTTTTACTTCACACTGCTTTGTCAATCCATTGCTAGATTAAGTCATTCCTGTGTCTTGTTTGTCATAGAGGTTATTTCAGCATACTTCCCCACGCTGGTCATTTCTCGTCAAAGAGCTGCTTAACTCGATGGGTCTTAACCAGCTGAAATAAAGTCTGAGTAAGTCAAAGGGGCATAGAGGGGATTGTGCGGCCCACGGCCGACCACCGATGCAAGTTTTGGCTCGAAATTTAACTCAATGTATGTATGTATGTTGAACTTCTTTCGAACCATACGTAGCCAACCATGCTCTTCGGAGGTGCGGGGAATGACAACAAACTAAACACCAAAAGCAGTTCTTAAGACATTAGTTTTCAATCTAGCTGGTTTAAACGTGCATAGCTCCTAGCGGATTCCTAACCTCGGAAGGAAGAGCGTTCTGGACGGCCGCAGAAGCACATCTGAAAATGCGCGATGCGGTGACCACCATCTTCGTTCAATGGCCAGCCATAAGCCGCTGCTGCAAGGATGACTGGAGTTCGCATGATGGGTTATGCTCCTAGTGCAGTGTGCTAACCACTTCACCAGCACTCCACCATTCTTGCTCCAATTTTTCCCAATTGTTTTCCCCTCGGTGTTTTGTGTCTCTCATATGCATTGCAAAACACTTTGAGATTCTGTTTTAGTGTTCATGTTGGTACTCGATTATAACATCTAAGCACAAACGTTGGCAATGGTGTAGCTTGCTGATAAATGCTAAAAGCATAAAACACTTATTGGACAATTTGCAATGCAAAATATTACCCTTGAAGGTCTGTCCAGCTCGAGGCTTGTATTAATTAAATACGCATTCTGAGTATGTGTATATTTTAACAACTTAGAAATACGATAACACCGTACATCACTCTGAAGTAATTTGCCAGTAATTGCACAATTTTGTCAGCTTATTTCTCTTTCTGTAACAAACGCAACTGTAGTCTCTTCAACTGATGGATAAACCTCTAAAATCCTCGTGCAGAGGGGTCAAGACTCGCAGGGTCAGCATGGACTCAGTCTGCCGGACAGGCCGGTGTGCGTAGGACAGACACCTTGTCACAGAGCTGCGGTGACCTAGGTTACATTTTCCATTTTCTGACGACAGAATTACTCTGCTCTCCTGCCCCTTGACATCTCTGCGGAATTGCAAGTGACACTTCATGTTCTCTTTGTAGATTGCTAATATGCGTACAAGAGATCATGTGCGCACACGTTGTTTTTTTTTACCTGTAGAAGTAAATCATTAAGGCTCCCTGCAGGGCCTTGTATGACAGTCGTCGAGTTCCTGAAAAACACATCAGACAATCCACATGCGAGTTAAATTTATGAGCATGCAACACACATGGCTGTGTTCGCTGGCATCGCTGTGAGAAAGCAGGGCGGTGATGATGCTGCTGCGTCGGCAGTCAGAATGAGAATCTTTGTTTATCTCTTGGAGCTATGAAGCTCTTTTTCGCAAATGTCCAGCGATGGTGTACAAATAAAGTCAATAACAACACATGTGCAATGAAGAAGGGTCATTACCTGTTTTATATATATAGTGTCAATGATGCATGTGTTGAGTTTTTGTGAGAGTAGAGATCAAGGAAATTTGTCATTAAATAGCAGGTGCACTATAAGTGATGCTTAATGATGAAACATACAAATTGTTGACTTTGAAGCTCATAAATTGGAAGGTAAAATTACGGCAAAAGCAAGGCTAAGCAGAAAGAAGGTCGAACCATTGAAAGAAAACACCGACTCGTTGTTTTTATGCTATTTTTCAATGCATTGAGTATAATTATTGTATTCTGTGATTAGTCTATGAATTATAATAATTATATTATTACGTTTTACAGATGGAGCCACACAGCTTGCACGATTGAGCAAAAAAACTGTTGGATAACATTGCCATCCTCCAGAAGTTTCCATCACAGTAAGTTGGAGACATGATGTACTTGATGTAGCCTAATTACGATATTTGACGTTATTTTATACGTTACATGGCAATGACATTGAGAGACAGATTAGTGACATTCAAACTGTAAATAACAGTAAGTGGATTTGGGCAGGATAGATCGCAAGAGGGGATTATGACAAACTGTCATTCAGCTCATGTGTAGGCGCTATGGATGAATTAGGTGACACCTTGGGGGTTCTGTCATCCAGCAGTGGATTGATCACGGATGTTGATGTTGGTCAATTATTTACAATACGTAAAACATCATCCACAACCGGAAAACCTCTACCCTGAATAAGTCGCTTTGAGAGGTTTAACTTACCTTGAGTATATTATATATTTTTAAATATGACCGAATAAAGCACTATTTTTACCATGAAGTCCACTACAAAAACTTTTTTGTTTGCTATGTCTGAAGGTGTTCAGGTGAAATAAAATAACTAATTCACTCCAATTGATGTGATATGGTGGCGAGATGTTATCACCCTCGCATTCTATGAAGGAGCTCGTGGGTTCGATCCTGACCCTGACGCTTATACATTTGGAATGTGCATGTTCTCCCCGTGGTCGCGTTGATTTTTCTGCGGGTCCTCCGGTTTTTCCCATCACATTGAGAATCGGCATGCGTTGAGAGCAGTGTTCGTCAATTATTTTAAAAGAGGGGCCACTTTCGCCGTTAAGACATCAGTGTGAGGCCGCCACACATTTGAAACCATTTGGTTTGACAGCATGATGGGATGTTTTCACTCCTTGTGTATTGTTGGGGTCCGCACGTCAGGGGCCACACTAAAGGCCGCCAGTAACCCACGGGGCCTTGCAATCAAGAACACTGGTTTAGAGTATTTGGCTGCGAAAAAATGTTCACGTGATAAATTCTCCCAAACACAGCTGTCAGCAGTGGCAGAGCATGCTTGCCAACAAAGACATTAAATTGAAGTGTTATGCAGAGCTAATTATCACTGGCCAAGATTAGTTAGAGAATCAATTGAAATTAAGAAGAATTCAAATAATTTTAATCGCTGTGATAGCTATAGACTCAGCGCAGCCTGAAAGCGTATTATTAAGGAATATACAACACATATTGCAATCCCTTACAGTGAGTCACATGCTAAGTGGCTGATTACTGATCTATTATATCAACCCCACCGCCTCTGATCTCGAATCCTGATGGGGTTCAACAATGATGGCATCATCCTCCACTATTTAAGACCGGAAGCAGGTGGATGGCTTCACTATTCTGGCAAATCGCCCGAAGATGCTCGATGTAATTTCCAGCGAAACGTCGTACTCAAATTGTGGACCAATGTAGAGAACTATTTGTCTTTTGTCAACGTGACACATTTTTTACTGATTGGCTATGCAGGGTGGTTGGGGGTTGTGACACATTATGAATTAACGCGATATAACCCAAAACACCTGTATTATGAACTAGCTTATATACCCAGCGTTGCCCGGGCCAAAAAAAGTATTCAATACTACTCTTAAAAATCTAACAGTAGTGTGTACTGACTGTGGTGGTACCTGCTATGATTACAGCAGTGCATACTGTGGTGGTACCTGCTATGATTACAGCAGTGCATACTGTGGTGGTACCTGCTTTCACTGCAGCAGTGCATACTGTGGTGGCACCTGCGATTATTACAGCAGTGCATACTGACTGTGGTGGTACCTGCTATGATTACAGCAGTGCATACTGACTGTGGTGGCACCTGCTATGATTACAGCAGTTCATACTGACTGTGGTGGTACCTGCTATGATTACAGCAGTGCATACTGACTGTGGTGGCACCTGCTATAATTACAGCAGTGCAAACCGACTGTGGTGGTACCTGCTATCACTACAGTAGTACATGCTGACTCTATAGCAGTATTTGTTGACTCTATAGCACAAAGTACTCACCTGACAGAGTGGCGTGGTGAGGCCTAGTCCCGTGCAGAGCCTTCGGCCTCGCCTAGATTGTCCAGACGGCCGAGGTGGTACCTTGGCAGGCTGGGGCTGGGCTGCTACCCCTGACCCCCAACCCCCTGACACGATCTCCCCGGCCATTCTGCAGTAATAGCATCCACCAACTGTATAGTAGTAACTGCACGCATCGGGGTGGGGGGGACCTCACACAGTGAAGAATTTACCTGAGCATCTAGTGTATTTTTATAGCATTGTCCCCCTCACTCCCACCGAAGGTGCGTGACTTGGCATGGGCTGTCCCCCCCACCAAAGGCGTGTGAGTTGCTATGGTCGTGCACGCATCATAAATAAATAAAAAGGAAGCACACAAAAATTGCACTAAATCGCTAATTAAACTAATTAAAAGTTGACGAATGTGAAATAGAAATAGCGCTTGCTCACGGCGGGGCTTACGGCGTGGTACCTAGCTATTTTTATTTTACATAAACCCCACCGTTGGAGAGCCAAATCCTTCGCAAGCGTTCAAACACACAAACAAACCCCGCCACAAACCCACAAACAATTTTTGACTTTTATATATATAGAAGAAGATAATAATACTGGTCACGAAAGCCTACGTGTTGAACTGAAGCGACTTCGTTGAGCTATCATTTGTGGCCAGGTCGCTTCTGGAAAAGAGCTACATGGCTCAGTGTTGCTTTACCTGGTAAAATATGTTTTTCATTCATAAGAGGACAGTTATAGTAGCATTCCTGCTTTACCTCACAATTCCCCTCGGGTGAAAGCAATCTAGCAGCTACGAATGCCTACCCTGTTCACGATATGGAGCCTACAGTACGAGCCCGGGGCCAGGGACAGGGACGAGCGAGCCTCCCGTCGCATCGCTCACCTGGATGGGGAGGCGACCCCCCCCCGTCCCCCACCCGCACACTAACGCGCCCAGAGCCACCCTCTCGCACAGCCACTGCAACACAGTGACATCCATCATTGGTTTCCTGTACCACTTACACATAGATTAACATTCCCCTATGGCCAAGATATTGTTAAATTATGGCCGAAATATTGCAGAGTGATTTCTCGTTCCACGCACTTTCACTATTTGAAATTAATTCAACTCTTACATGTATCTGTGGTAAGGCTTGCAACCAAATAATAAATTATCGTAAGTATTTTGGACATTTCAGAATAGATATGGTATGTGAAGTTAAATTATTTATTTTTACTGCTTCGATGTTTTGCTTGTTAATTTGTTTTGTTTTTAATTTCGTTTCGCTATGTAGGTTTTGGATGCTGCCGTGGTGGGGTCATGGTCAACACATTGGACATCCAGAGGCCGCGGGTTCCAAACCTCCAGTGCGGCAGGTGAAACAACAGGGCATTCAAATACGTTTCTTAAATCCCTACAAAGGACAACTTGGCAGAACCCTCCTGAAAAAAGGGTTGCGATGCAGTGATGCTTTCCTGGGCAACAGGCATACCAATAATAGTAATAAATTACCCCGCAACTCTATCAATGTAAATAGGTATACAACAATCGTTCTGAAGATTGTGTGGTGGGCTAAAGTGTGGGCACTCCCATACTACCAAAACCCCCTCTGGAGGAGCTCTTTGAAGCTCCCTCAAGTGGAAGTGCTTCCGCCAGCAGTGACGTGAACAGGATATCGCAGGGCTGCTCTATTTAACCCGTACTTATCATGAATGTTCAGTTGTAGCGCGTGTGCAGTGTGTCAATGAGAGGGTCATTTGAAGCAGTGCAAGACAGCGTCTCGGGGAATATTGCCTCTTCGTAGGTTTCTGCAACAGACAGGGCCTGGGCATGCATTTTGTTCTGCGCCTTATCACCACAGCTAATGCAGTGGCACTAAGCACCACAGCCCAACACCCCTGGGGCAAACCAAAAGAAATGGGATAAAATGTCTCTTTCGTGCTGCGGGGCTCCCTGGATGTAATTTGACAGCCAATCGCGCATCACGGGAAATATCGACCCCATCTGCTTCGGCCGTTGCACTCAGTCCAAATAAATTAACTTAACAAATTGCATGTTACCTGAATCAGTTACAAGCATGCTGACCACTAGGTTATTCAATCACCTGTACTTGTTTGCATTAAAACTGATTTGAAGTTCAGTAAAAAAATCCAAAAGCCAGACTAGTTGATGGGAGAGCCTTTCTGGTTACGGGGAATGTTAAGTACACTGAAATGGATTAAATAAATATATGCTACATCATTACATTTGTATTCAATTCCACATCATTACCACAGACTCATATTTCATGTAATGCATAAATAACAAAAATTAAGATTAACTAAACTACTTTTTATCAACACCATGAAGCAGGGTTAGATGGCTGAGGCTTGCTGGATGTGAATAGGTGAAGATATTTTATGATGGGCCTCAATATTTTATTTAGTTTATTTTGGAAAGTAAATGTTGAATGAA